ATGAGAGTTTGGCTACAGGTAAGATTTCAGCATTGCATGGTCTGCTTAAAGTGACCCGAGCTGAGGTTGCTGCTGTTCAGTTGCTTTATGTGCATTTAGTTTGGAAAGCCTTGAAAAAGTTCAGCTGAATTGAAAACATCTTTGCTTATTCCATGTGCCTGGAAAGGTTTTTCCTATGGATATGACTTTGTGCCATGGCCACTGGGTGGCTCCCTGGAAACGGCGTATGAACTGAACTGCAGACTTTGTGGATGTGGATAACTGGGAATTATGCATGGATGCAATCCCTGTCCTGCCGGGTCGGCTTTCTGATGACTCTGAAAAGCCTGATCACAGAGAAAAGATGTCCTTAGTGTCTCTGTTTCCACCAGCTTTGGTACTTGTCTTTGGCTTGCCAGGCTGCCCTGGGGCATGCCAGGCCACTGGCTGGCAGTGTTGAATGATAATAGGGATGGAAAAGGGAATTCTAAAGGAACCAAGGAAATAGAAACTCTTGGTTTGTTTAGATTTTCCGTTCCATTCACAGCAGCTAAAGAGTTCCAAGAGCTTTTCCCATAGCCATAGAAAGTGCTTCTGTTGAGATGTTGCTGTCTTTTAAGTATTTTAATTTTCTTCCTCTCATTTTCAGGGAGTAAAAGTGAACTGAGTTCCCCTTCTGTTTCTGCAATCAATCTCCTGCGTCAGAGGCTACATGAGAAGATTCAAAAAGCTTCTGGACAAGTATGAGAGCTCTGAATGTGTATCTGTATATGTGTTTATGCACTGTAAATTCTCCTCAGCCTCCCAGAGGATGTGGGCACAGGACTAGGATCTCACAAAGCTCAGGGTTTGAGCTGATTCTGTCTCCTAAGGAATTGGCTGTGGGTATTGCTGGGAGGCCTGTGTGTGTTCTGTGGAAAAACATGTGAGAAAAGGTGGGGGAGAGCATGCCTCTGGTGATTTTTAGAGAAAAGCAAAGCATTGAGAGCCTGAAAGGGAACACAGCTATGGGCTGCTGAGAGAAAGTGAAGGGGCTGAAATACTGTGACTGTGTTCAGTGTCTCTAACAGCTGAGCCCACAGCTTCCTGTCACAGGAGAAGCTTCTTATAAAGACAAGTTTGAAATCAGGAGGATGAGGACAGCCCACTTTTAGTTTTGCCTTATCCCTTTAAGTCTTCTCATTCATGTCCATCCTTCTTCTTAGGATGCCAAAGAATTAACCCCTGCAGTCCTGGAGAAGAGGCAGCGACGGAAATATGAGAGGGAGAGGAAGAAACGTCGAAGAAAGGAGTTAAAGATGAAGGCAAAAATGGAGAAGAAAGAAACTGAGAAGGTACCAGTAGAGCCAGAAAAGAAACAGGAGGAGAGGAAAGCTGAGATTGTCTTTAACAGGGTTGAAGTCCATGAAGAGAATGAGTTGAACAAGGTGCAGAAGAAGAAAGAGAAGAGGAAAGCAGTGAAAGGCAATATCACTCCTCTGACAGGCAGAAACTACAAACAGCTGCTGAGCAGGCTGGAAGCCAGGAAGAACAAGCTGGAGGAACTCAAGGATAAGGACGAGAAGAAAGCTCAGGAGCTGGAGAACAAAATGAAGTGGACAAATGCTCTGTATAAGGCAGAAGGGGTGAAGATCCGTGACAACGAGGAGCGTCTGAAAGAAGCTCTGAAGCGCAAGGAGAAGCGCAAAGCACAGCGCAAACGGCAGTGGCAGGAGAGGACGGTCAGAGTGGTGGAGAAGATGCAGCAGAGGCAGGACAAGCGTCAGAAGAACATCCAGAAGAAGAAGAAGGAGAGGATGGAGAAGAAGAAGGCCAGGGCCCGGAAGAAGGGCCGAGTTCTGCCAGAGGACTTGAAAAAAGCTGGTTTAAAGTAAGGGTGAGACAGATGGTCCTGGCAGTTTTGCTTCCAGGGCAGGTTGTGTCTGTCTGTGCTGCTGTCCTGGAGGAGGCAGTGCCTGAGGACACCAGGCTGTGGGGCAGGCACTGCCACAGCTTCCCAGCTTCATCATCATCAAAAAACTGTTGTATGTTTGTTAATAAAGTTTTGTATCCTGAAGAAACACCTTCTGGCTGATTCCTAATCAAAATTATTACTGTTTTCCTAGAGGCAATGTTGGTTCTGATGTGCTGTGCAGTGTGTTCCTCACACTGTGGGTGTCAGCCCAATGGAGTTCTACATTTTCCCTTAGAAAGACCCATAGCATTGGAAGAAACTGGTTTTTGCCTTACCAGTTAAAAGCCTGACCAATGTGCTGTAAGTGAAATGCAGACTCTGCAGTGAATATTTTCTATGGAGTGGTCTACAAAGTGAGGTATTTATCTGCAATCCAGAATGCTTTCCAAGGCAGGGCTTGGAGATAAAGTAGTGCTTTGTTCTGGGAGGTCAAGTGAGTTCATTTGGGAGTAATAGAGCTACTTTCAACCATATCCTTGTTACAAAACTCTCTGAACAAATTCGAGGAAGCTTTAGCTGTGTTTGGTTGGAGATTCTGCCATTAGCTGCACCCACACCTATTTCATTGTTTCATTTGTATTCGTGGTGAATCCTGGAGCTGTATATCAGTTGCAAATGTCAGTGAGATGGTTTTGGATGCAAAAAGTTGTTCCAATCTGCTCTGGCTCCAGTGTTCTTGCAAGCTTGTGACACAGAAACTGAAGCAAAGGAGGAATGCATCAGCTGTGCTCCTAATGATGCAATATTCCAAAATATGTGTGTTACTTTTCCTGAGGGATGAGATGTTTACTCTGTGAAGACACATGGAAGTACTCTATGCCTATTCCAGTGGCTGAAACTGCACTAAAATAACCTTTTTTATTATTCTGTGTTAATTTGACTATTCAATTTGAGGATAACTTAGTCTCCTTTCTTCTCTGTTCACTATCCTCTGTCCTTCCCCATCTGTGCTGTCAGGCTCTGTATGCCAAGGAGGTAAGTGCATGGGGATGGTCACGTGCAGAGAGAGAATCCCCAAGACACTCTGCAAAGTGGAACTGTTTGCTTGTTCCTTCATGCTTTAGAGGGACATTTTGAGAGGATATTTATGACTTTGGAAAGTGACATCAAGCTGGGAGGGGCTGCAAGCATCACAGAAAACAGAGTTCAGTCCAGGCTTGATGTTTTAGCAAAACAAATAGCCTGAAAAGGAAGTTTGATTTCATAAAGTCTAGTGCAGATAGACTGGCTAGGAGAGATTCCATAGGAAATGTGTGGATTACAGGCTGAATGTCATCCCCAGTGCTGTGTCCTTGCAAAGTAGGCAAGTCTCATATAGGAACCTCCACTGTGACAGCATTTCAGTTTTGGGGGTTAATCCTGCTTTGCTTAATACTGGTGAGGGCTCAGCAGGAGAATTTGGGTTGCTTTGGCATTTTTAGGCAAAAAAATCCAGAACTGCTCAGTGCGAATATTCATGAAGGCTTTAAATGGTGGAAGGCCTTAAGATACATATAAATATTTAATTACTATATTTATGTAGGATTCTGTGATGCTTCTTGGTGAAAGCTAATTAAATTGTCTGACAGGAGTGTGAGGGAGAGGCACCAGAGAGGTTTTCTGTATGGTAGAGGAAAGCAAATTAAAGAACATTTTGCCACTTGTCTTTTTTACAGCCAGAAAAATGAAAGCAGGAAAATCACCACTGCCTTTTCCATTGGCACTTACCAAGGGCCAGGACAGTAATGATCTCTGTCATTACCTCAGCCTCCCCCAGGAAGCACCGTGTACCAGTCCCTTCCACTAACACCTGTGCTACTGACCATAAATAGAAGTTTGACAAACAGCTTGTTTGGGTTCGGGCGTTTTTTCTTCCCCCTCAGGCTCCAATCACATACTAGAAAGTGGTTTCCACAAACTGCAAACTGCCTGTAGTCCTTCCAGCCAGCCTGGCCAGCTGCACAGAGCAGCACTTGCTGTGTCTGGGGGGGATGCTCAGGCTGCAGAAGTGTGTGCAGACAGAGCCTTATCTGCAGATTCCTGGGTCTGTCCTCACCAGAGGCAATAAAGTGATAATAATTAATGTGCTTGTAACAAGCCACTTTTAGAAGCCACATGCAAAGGCTCTACGGTTTGTCAAGGGGTCTGTGGTTCACCCTCTGGGCACCTTTGCTTCCCTAGGAACAGCAAAGGGATTTTTTTGGAGCTTTTCAGGTAAGGCAGCCGAGCTTGGGGAGGTTGTTTTTTGTGGTGATTGAAAATGAAATCATTTCTTTGGCTTCCAGAGACATATTGCTCTAGGTGTATTAGTATTGTTTCCTGTATTTTTGCTGTATCACACCTCAGTTTACCTTTCTCCCATAGATACCTTTGCAGGGAGTGTCTCTGGCAGCCAAAGGGGGAGTTTATCATATGATAACTGTATTAGCTCTCTGATAGGATTGGATGGGGTGAGTTGATTAAATTGCCAAGGGTGGGGGCTTCAGATGAAAAAAATGGAATCTGCAGGACCTGGAGCCAGCTCAGAAAGGTTGGAGCTCACTGGAGTGGAGAGGTTTCTCCAGCAATTAACTGGTGTTGCCTCAGTGACTAAGTACTTTGACTTTTCCAGCCTGGCTCCTTCCGTGTTCCTCATTTCCGGGGGCTGAAGTAAACTGAAACTGCTTAGAAAACCTTGGGCTTCTCCGGGAAAATAATCCACTCTCCCATAGTGAGATCCTTACAGCCAATTGCCCTTGCTTTTTTTGGGTTTTTTTCAGGTCAGAAGCTGCTGGAAGTCAGAAGTTGCTCTTCCTTCTCCTGTGGAAGACATGATTTCTGGGAAAGTGGTGGGATCTCTTGTGTGTCTGTTTGTTGTTACTACAGTTATCTGGTAAGCACCTGCTGGTCACCTTGGCCAACTTTAAAACACCCTGTCTACATACTGTGGTGAAATGCATAGGAGCAGTAAAACACAGGCTGTGCATTTTATGGACAGTCCTGTTAGAGCTGTAATTTGTGTAACAGATAAAGCAGCACTAGTAGAGGGAGGAGACTCTAAGGGAGAGAGGAAAAAAAAGAGCAATTGTGTCAAAATCAGGCTGCTAACACCATATCTGCCTCACAAACAAATGCTTAAGTATAGAATATTCCAGTTACATTTCACTCCAGGCCTTAACAGAGATGATTATCTGTCTCTTCAAACAGTCCAACCTCACTGCAGTGTCACTAGGGACAGCTTTGTAGCTGTCAAACATTGCAGCTTTCAAACACTGAGGATTTTGTAACTTGGAGTATTCTGATAACTGAGAGTTGTTTAGGGATTCTCTTGAGCAAACTCAAACAGTGTTTGAAGGGAACATGAGCTCAGGCATTTCTATTAACTATTAAACTATGGATTATTAAGTTATTATTAATTATCTCATAATTTTGATGTTGCAATTCACTGTGTTTTCACCTTGTGGGTTATTGCATTTATGCCTTAGCAGTATATTGTGTTAAAATGGGAACACACCAGATCCTACACTTAGCTAGTAAAATGGCCATGGAGTTAGCTGGAGTTACACCTCAAAATCTCTGCCAGATCCTCAGATGATTTTGGAAAAATGCTAGGAAGATTTCCTTCACCATTACCTATCTTCAAATGTTTCTTTGTTCTCCCAGGATTACAGCCAGGAGTGGAAAAGTGCACTACCTCCCATACTACCTTCCCTGCCCTGAAATCTTGTGAGTATCCTGTTTAGTGTGGAATGAATGACACAGATCATTGCCACAGGAGCTGTTCTTCACTGTCAGCAGTGATTAACAAGCCACTTGTTCTTTATGAATCTGTAACAAGTCACTCTCTTAAATCAGAGCAGGTAACAGGTTTGACTCTGCCTGCCCCACAGGACAGCTCTGGATTTGCACAGCATGAGTGAGGCTTTGTTTGTGTGGGTCACAGAGACTAACAGGTTAACATTGGCTTCCTTATCAGTGTGTAATCTCACACGTGCACATGTACACACAGGTCTCACTGTGCTCTGAGATGTGGGTTGAGTCTCTCAGCTTGCTAGACAGGGAAACCTAAACCAGAGAGGTGAAAAGAACAGCCACAGAAGGAGTTCTGGCAGAGTTAGGAATAACTCCCTGTTCTCCTAAGCATTCTCTGCTTCTTCACACTGTGACCAGTGCTTTCCCCTCACTTTCTGAATGTGTTGGTGCTGTGGCAGCACTTGAGCTCTGGACCAGAAGCCTGTCCTGAACAAATGCAAAACAAAATGAACAAATGCAAAAAAAATGAAAAAAAACCCCAAATGCAGAACAAATGAAGAAAAGCTGCTTCTCCAGAAACCTCACGGTCACAACTTCATTCCTGCAAACTGATGTGCAGTTACCTGACATAGCCTGGATCCCAAAAACCCTCTCACAGCTGCACAAAAGGGAATTTACACTGTGGAAGGGTGGAAATGTTGTACGTGGCCTCAGTGACCTCACTCCATACTGGACCAGAGCTGTAACATGACAAGCTGTGGCTTTTCCCATCCTTTACCATGACCTACTGAGCTTGTAAAAACCAAACCAATGCAAATAGAAAAGATGATGTTTTATAGATGCATTCCTGATTATTTCAAGCCATTATAAGCCACTGTGTCTAGTCAAATGCTTATCTCTCTGAATGCTGTTAAAAGTGGGATGTATTTCAGGCAGTTCATCCCTCCAGCTGACCAGGGACAGTTATGCAGGGAATGGAGCACATACATGACCAGTCCCTAACATGCCTGTGCTTCCCTGGATTTTGACCCCTAAACTCTGGTTTATCCACAGGCTTAGATTGCTGCCAGCACCTCTCTGTCCCTGTCGTGGTGTGTGTTCTGTTCCCAAACTGTCCCTTGTCTGACAGCCCTGGAAGGTGTGTACAGGTGATGCCTAACCCTGTACCAGGCAGAGCAGTGTGCACAGCAGCTGGAGCTGGACTTGGAACAACTGTTAGTACAGCAGCAGGTCCTGAATCTGGTTCATATTGCAGGAAAAAGCATTAAAATCATTTTCTTTTCCCACCCCATCATGCAGCTCCCTAAAACTCCAATACACCGAAGAAAAGCCAATCCAGCTCTTCCCCCAGTAAGTACTGGCTTTTTATCTCCTGACCTTTAAACTGCTGTTCCTCTCTTCCAGGCATATTCATGTATTATTCAGTGGCTATTTCTTCCTTTTTACAGATTATTTTATCAGCAGCCAAGGGTGCTGGCTCCAAAGTAAGTTTCTTTGTTTGAACTTTGTTTCTGCCTACTTTGGTTTGGGCTTGCTGTGGCACTCACAGTTCCAAAGTCCTGGGACATACTGAGCAGGACCTTGTTCCATGAGAAGCCCAACCATGTGGGTATCCCTGCAGCTGTCTGTGCTGCTGGAAGGTTGAGTTTAGTCACTGGACACTTGTTAATATACTTACTGTTAATTCCCAATTAATACATTAGCACTCACACAGTCTTTGTGGTTGCTTCCAGGAACTCTGAGATGGGAGTTCTGTGATAGCTGGAAGACAGTGAGAAATACCTTCTGGAGCTGTAACCAGCTGTGGGAGAGCTTTGAACCCATTTCAGGGCAAAATCAAGCAATGACCTTCAACAGTATTTTCAGCTAACACAGACAAGTCTCTATGAGATGCAGTCAAACCAGTGAGTTTGAGCAGACAGGGAAAGGTTTGGGCAGCAGCACTAAGAAGTGACTTGGACAAACTCTCTGTGCAGCTGAGGTTGTTCAGAATCTCCTTTGGCCCCACTCCTCTGACCTGACTCTTATCTCAAGCAATTCACTCTCAGCAGCCACATTCTTTTGCATGTTAACAAACACACCCTGTTGGTATGCAGTCAAACCAGTGAGTTTGAGCAGACAGGGAAAGGTTTGGGCAGCAGCACTAAGAAGTGACTTGGACAAACTCTCTGTGCAGCTGAGGTTGTTCAGAATCTCCTTTGGCCCCACTCCTCTGACCTGACTCTTATCTCAAGCAATTCACTCTCAGCAGCCACATTCTTTTGCATGTTAACAAACACACCCTGTTGGTACATATATATGTACTCCCCCTGATTTGCAGGATGTGGCTGACCTGAATATTTCTCACTTCCAGATTGGAAAAAATCACTGTGCAACATCATCTGGTATATACTGGCCTAAATGAGGAGAGAATCTTGTATCCTTTAGTGCTCTGTGTCTTCTGAAGGGAGTTCACTAGCACTGAGAGGATGCATATTATGGCCAGGAGTCCTTGGGAAACCCAGGGCAGCCCTTTAAAATGAGAATTTAAAAACCCTACTTAGAGGAGTGAACATGCAGGTTTCCTTCTTTCTTTCCCCTCATCCAGAAAAGATTAATTAACCCAGGAAGAGAGCAGGTCAGTTGGTACATTTTCTCCAACCCAAAATCTTCCTATATAATTTAATCTTTCAATTACATAGGAGTCAATTTGTATTCTTGTATCCTCTCAGACTGAAAGTATTAGGTCTGGGTTGGAAGATCTAATTAGATCAACTGCCTGAGCCACCAAGCTGCTCCCCACAGGTCCTCTGGTTTGGTTCTGGTGCTCTTACTGCCTTGGGAGTGTCAAGTGGGAGATTCTCAGCTCCTGGTGGGCATTAGCAGAGGTCTACAGCTCATGGTCTGGGGTGAATTTTAGCAGGTTGGGGTAAATCACACATCATAAATGACGTGATTCAAAAAGGTTAAGACCAAATCACTGAAAACAAAGCAGCAAGCTGAAACAGCATAGCTGTACTAGGGAATCATCAGCCTCTGCTGCATGTATATTCACTATTTCCACTACCCTCAGAGGAGATTAAGGACTTTTTCTAACTTTGTTACACATTTCCTCAATGTTGGCTCACATACAGAATTTGAAATCGTATCTGAATGTGCTGAGGCTATATATAAATGCTGGGAAAATAAACTGTCATGCTGCAAGCTGTGTTTTAATAACACAGCAATGGGGTGTATTTTTATCGTAATTTTCATATTATTCTTTGTGTTTTAAGCAGTATGTAGCAATCTGCATCAAACTGGGAGCAAATAGGCACAGCTTGTCATTCTGTGGGTTCGGTGGTCGTTAAACTCTCCTCAGCAGCAAAGTCCTATCAGCTTAAATGAGATTTTAGTAGATCCTCATTTTTTTACCAATCTGTTTAAGTGCTTAATTTCATCCCAGGAACTGAAATGGCCATGCTCAGTAACCTCAAATAGGAGTGCAGGGAAAAAAAAAATCTGAAGGTAATACCCTCCCTAATGAGTTAATGTTGATACACATGCTCTTCTCACTGCCTTTTTTTTTTTTTTTTTATGTTCACTGGCCTTGAAAGCAAAAGGAACAGTTAGATTTCATTCACATCCCCTTTCTCCTCCTCCAGGCGTCAGGATGTGCTGACAGTCACACCATGGTTGGCTCCCATCGTCTGGGAAGGAACTTTCAGTTCTGAGGTCCTAGACAGTGCCTACAGACCACTGAACCTCACCATAGGGGTGACAGCCTTTGCCATTGGAAAGTAAGGGAAGCACTCAGTGGGCACAGTTCTTGGGGTCATGGGCTTCCCCTGTGGAAAGATCATTTTGACTTTTCTTTGTCCTCAGCAGAGCTGAAATCTGTCCCAATCCCAGACTTTGATGGCCATGTAGTGTGTTCATAACCACACAAGCCCCTGAGATGAGAGCACCTTAGGGACCTGAAGTATGGGCAGTATTTTTTAAGGACTAGCAGGTGTCTTGGGGATTAGAGCTATAGATGGGTGGTTTCTTGCTCAAAGTGCTCCCTATTGCATGTGTAGTGTGTGGATTCTTGCAGGACTAGTTAGTCAACACTCTTCACTCCTTGTCTTCTTCCATTGACTAGAGTATCCTTTGTAAAACACCCCTTGGAATCCCAGACTGGTTTGGGTTGGAAGGGACCTTAAGGTTCATCTAGTTCCACCTCCTGCCATAAGCAGGGACACCTTCCACTAGACCAGGTTGCTCCAAGCCTGACCTTGAACACTTCCAGGGATGGAGCAGCCACAGCTTCTCTGGGCAACCTGTGCCAGTGCCTCAGCACCTCACAGGGAAGAATTTCTTCCTAACAGCTAATCTAAACCTGTCTTTCTTCAGCTTAAGGCCATTATCCCTTGAGCTATCACTACTACTGAGCATGCCCTGGTCAAAAGTTCCTCTCCAAAAACCATCCCCTCCTGTCTCTGCTGTGCTCCTCACACGTTGTGTCTGCACAGGTACACAAGGTTTGTGGGTCGCTTCGTGGAGTCAGCAGAGAAACACTTCATGAAGGGCTATCGGGTGAACTATTACATCTTCACCGACAAGCCTGAGACCATCCCCGAAGTCCAGCTGCAGCCTGGACGAAGGTTTGTCACTGTGCCCATCAAGAAATACTCCAGCTGGCAGGAGATCTCCATGCGCAGGATGGAGGCCATAAACAAGCACATAGCAGAGGTGAGTCACCAGGAGGTGGATTACCTCTTCTGCCTGGACATCGACATGGTGTTCCACAACCCCTGGGGGCCTGAGACCCTGGGGGACACAGTGGCAGCCATACACCCTGGGTACTTCAACGTCCCTCGAAACCAGTTCCCTTATGAGAGGAGGAGCTCTTCTGCTGCCTACATCCCTGATGGAGAAGGAGACTTCTACTACGGAGGAGCTGTGTTTGGAGGGCTGGTCAAGAAGGTCTATGAGTTCACCAAGACTTGCCACATGACCATCCTGACAGACAAAGCCAATGGGATCATGGCAGCCTGGCAGGAAGAAAGTCACCTCAACAGGCATTTCCTCTCCCACAAACCCTCCAAAGTGCTTTCTCCAGAGTATATATGGGATGACAGGAAACCAAAGCCACCTGAAATTCACCTCATACGATTTTCCACTGTGGATAAGAACTACAAAGAGATACGAAATTGACCATCTGATCCCTGCAGAGATGTCCTCCACACAATCAAACCTACCCAATGTTAGCTCCCACGGAATGTGCCCCACCATGAATTTTTGTTCCCATGCTGAACAAACTGAGAAAGGAATGTGTGGACTGTTCCTCTGAAGAATGGGAGTCTTAATGCATTTCAGAAGCAGCAGCCAAAGTGGAGGTGAGACTGAAAAGGTTTCCAGGTCCCTAATCATTGTCAATGCAATCCTTCTGCTTGAGGCTGCAGCACACAAAAAAGTGTCCAAAGAGCCAGTTATCCAACTGCAGATGCCTTTCCCTGAGTGTTTTCCTGAAGCCCTGGCAGAAACTTAGCAAGATCATAATGGTATTTGACATTCCCATGGAGAAGAAGACCTAGAGTTTTGGTAAAGACCTTTTCAAAGACTTTCCAGGGCGATAAATTTTCATGCCTTGTGGTTTAAACGAACACCTTTTGTCAGAGTCAGGAGGAAACTTGCACTTGGAGAAATGTTATCCCTGACTGGTGTGCAGCAGGATTTCTTGGACCTTCTCAGCAGAGAGGTGGTGCCAGCCACTGCCAGTAAGAGCCCTGGTCTGACAGGACAAATAGTGTGAACTCCTATAGCAATCACCTTCCAAATTCCAATCTGTGCTTTGTAGACCCAAGTTTAGACAGAACTGGCACAGCTCAGACCCAGACTGAACTTCTTCGGCTTTATTTCAATCACAGATGTGCTCTGAACCTTTTCCCTGGGTCACATGTCTCTGTAGATCATGTAATCTTTTCCAACACAGAAAATCTGGTTTTGAGATGTTCATGTTCCTATCCATTGCTTCAATCCTTTCCAGCTTTTCTAAGCTCTGTGAAATAAATTGGCAAGAAGCTGCTGGAGCTGACAGCACGAGCTGATGCCTTTCCAGCAAACAGGGTGATTTCATTCCATAATGAAATGCTCCAGTGAAGCTGGGAGTTCAGTCTGGAGCTGGAAGTAGGTTGGGGTTTAACATTTTCTTCCTCTGGATGTGAAGAGGAGCTGAACCAGGCGTTTTGCAGCCTTTACAGCCTGACAGCTCACTGGGGTGAGCAGGCTGGGGAGGGGTGTCCATACCCAGGGGAGCAGCAGATGTCAGCTGAGGTCACAGCATGAGGGGCATGTGCCACCTCCCTTGTGGCAGTTGGGCTGCCACAAACATCATCTCTGTTACCTCCCCAGGCATTGCTAGCAAAGGGTGTGCTCGTTCAGGGTGAGCAGGGAGAGAGGCCACGGGGAGCTGCAGGGAATGGCAGAGCTGTGCAGCAGAGAGGAGGAGCAGGGTGAAAGGGTGAAGCTGCCTGTTTCTAAGGGAACAGTTCAGAAAAAAAAAATGAAAGAAGAAAAAAAAACAGGCTCATTTGGCAGAGAAAGGAAAAATGGGGAAGAGGTGCCTGACTGTTCTCGCTTCTCCTCACATAAGAAAATTGCTGTATGGCAGCGTATCAAGTATTCAAAGCTTTAGGGCCCCACCACTGATTGCAGATGACTTAACGAGCCATTTCAGCCCTGTGTGAGCAGGATGAAAATGGCACTTGCCTGTGTCGTTGGAGGCATTTCATCTTCCAGAAGACTAATTAGAAAAGCTTTCACAGCACCCATAATACAGATAAGGTACAGAAAACACCTCCAGCCCACAAGCCCCAGTGGCAGCTGGGTCTGTTGGTTTGTGTTTTATCCAGCAAAGGGTCTTTTTTAGTCTCTTTTCTCCAGACTGTTCCTAGTGATGTGGCACGGGAGGAAGACACCCCTTTACATAGTTAAACCAGAATCCCCTGTGAAGATGCCTGTTTAGTACCAGGCACCTTATCAAAGTCAAAAGGGTGAAGAAAGATCCTTAGCCAAATATTCCCAAGAAGAGAATATTCCCACCAAACCCAGGATTAATACTGTCTGTTTCATATTTGTGAAGCAGTTAAGTGCCTGAAGGCTGTGCTGAAACTGGGTTCTCATTGTGCCAGTTGTTGCATACATGCATATGGATTCTTTACAAGCCAGAAGGAACTGTCTAGTCTGCTCTGTATGGGACAAGGCAGATAATTTTATCTCCCAGTGTCAGTACCAGCACATGGCTGAGCTGGGCTAGATTTCTTGGAAAAACATTCATATCCAAGGAAAACACAGAGTGATATAGCAGCCACAAATCCACAGATCAGCTGTGCCAATGGCCAGTTCCCCTTATGCCTTAACTCTGCTCAAAATTACACTGTTTGCAGCCATCAGGCTTCATTCTGCCACATGAATTCCTGAGTTCCTGTGCAGGTACTCAAAAATCCACCATGAGGGGAAGTCCTCCAGCAGAGATGAGTGTGATAAAGGGTGTTCTGTGTTTCTGAGGTACCTGGTTTGAAAAACTCCTGTGCAAGGCTTGGGCTCAGCTCTGCATCTGAGCTGCCTTTTGGCCGAATCCTCAGCCCTCTGATTGACACCATAATGGCCTGATTTGTGCAGTGCCAAACATGTTTATTTTCCTGGCAGGCCTGCAGCTTCTCCCCAGGGGAATATCTTGTGTTGTGTGACACGGTTCTGCTCGACAGGGCTGTGATTTGAAGCAGTACCTAGAAACTCCCTGTGTCTCCAGGGAGCAGAGGAGAATGTCTGCAGAAACACACCCCCCAGTGCCGAGTGGGAGATGCTCCATGAATCAGCTCCTGCCATCCTCTAATTAATGAAAGCCTGGACTTCTCTTGTCATCTCCTGCTGATTAATCTCCTTTCCCCAACACCAGCAGCAAGCTTTCCTACTCCCATTTGGATTGTGCTGCCTGAGGCTTTGTGAGCAGTGTGGGAGCTACACAAGGAGCTGCTTTCTGATCTGCATTCCCCACCAACACCCAGTGGGGAAACTGAGGCATGTGGTAGGAAGGCAGCAGACTGTCACTCTTGCATGGCAGGTCTTCCTCCACTCACCACAGGGAACAATGTTGTCTCATGTGTTCTCCTGCCAAAGGAGTTCGGACTTGGAAACAGACGCAGAGAACTGCATGAGAAGTGAATCAACACATGTAAATAACTCAGCAGCTGATTTACACTGCCTGGGGATGTGATCATGCTCCCAAGGTATTTCCCACTCGAGCCCTGTTTGCCTTAACCAAGCCTCAGAGCAATGGCTTGTTGCCTTCCCAAGGGCCTCTTGTTCCATCCATCCCTTTCTGCTTGGCTGGAACAGACTCATCATTCATTGTCCATCTAATTTAAGAACCCATCTGACAGGCTGTTTCTTCCCTTATCCTGCCTGGTGTCTTGCACAGTGCATGACATCCCCAAAGGGAAAAACCTCTCTGGGGGGTGAGGAACAGAAACTACCAGCACTGGATATAATCCAAGGTGGGGCCAGACTGTGATCCTCTCATTCTCCCCACTGACAGGACAAGGATCATACCCACTAAGCACACTAGTGCTCTTTTTCACTCCTGTCTCGAGTTCCCATAACCCTCCCCTAGGCAATGTTCCCTGTCATTATTGACCAGAGCTGTCACTTTGAACCACTTTGGTGCACAGCACCAGTTATGAAAGGACTGCCTAGCCAAACCTTCTCTGAGATCTGTGGCTCGGGGAGCATGGAAATGAGGTGGTCTTTGAGCAGACATGGATGAGGCAGGATAAGAACCACCAGTTAAGCATTCCCTGCACAACACCAGCAGGTGGAATAGCCACGTGCATCTGGCTGTCTTATTGCAGCTGAAGCAGAATGGAGATGGAAAGGAGCTGGAAGGCTGTGAGCTCCCTGCCAGAGCTGCTGGGTTCACTCTCCTGCCCTTTGCCTCACCTGTTCAGCCTGTGGCTCTTCGAGGAAGGGGCTGTCTCTGTCTCTCGAGCTGTGTTTGCACAGGGACTAGCCTGAGTCGCTCAGCAGCGAATGTGAGATACACAGAATGAGTTTCTTTCTCAGCAGGGATTTGCTCTAATCTCAAAGGGCAACTCTTAACGCCAGGGTTACTATTTTCTCACTGGAATCCCACCTGCTCTGCTTCACCTCGCTGCCCCAGCAAGTCCCCAGGGGATTCTGGGGGTGAGACACACAGAGAGCAACAGCTGCTGTCCAGGTGGAGTGACAGTGACAGCGACAGGCGCTTCCAGGGACAGCAGGAACTGGAGAGGGAGTCACAGGAGTGGGTTGTACTTTACTCACGCTACAACCCCAATTGTGTGCAGCAGTTCTGCTCCACACAATCAAATAATTTAGGAAAGCATCACTAGCAAAACACATCTGAAGAGTGACATTTAAATGTCTGTCTGCCCACCCAGCTCCCTCCTTTCTCCACAAGTATTGCTGTACTGACTTGACTTTTCTTGCACTATATTTAGGTTAAACACAGATCCATCAAATGTCACTGTTTCATGTAAAACTAGTGTAAATCCATAGGAATAGAAAGGCTGGTTTAACCAGAAATCTCTGCTGC